AGAGAGAGAGAGAATGTGGTGTGTGTGTGTGGCCAGCTCAGCCCACCAGGGGGCGGGGCTGGCTGGCATGTGGTGCTGGGGGATCGAACTGCCGTCCCTGATGCTTCGCTAAGCTTGTTCCAAGTAGGTGCTTTAGACCACTGAGCCATCTCTCCAGCCCCTCTGTTTACTTTTTACTATGAAAATTTCTCCAGTTCTAAAAAGGAAACTGGGTGTGGTGGTGTACACCTGGAATCCCAGTGCTGGGGAGGCTGAGACGGAGGATCACTATGAGTCTGAACTGAATAGTGAGACCCTGTATCGAAGAAAAAAAAAGAGTAGAGGAAATAGTACAATGAACTTTCACGCAGCCTTAGTGGTTACTGATTCTTGGCCAACTCTAATTTGTGTCCTGTCCCAGTCTCCTATCCTGGATCATTTTGAACAGAATCCCAGTGCTATGTCATCTCACTAACAAACACTTTAGTGGGTATTGCTAAATGATTAATATTTTTAAGACTGTAAACTATAAAACTTATCAAACCTCAAACATTTTAGCCTTAATTTTTTTTTTTTTTTTTTTTTTTTAGTACAGTGTCTATAGGGTCTCATTACTCAGATGGGAGTCATAGTGATTCTCCTGTTTTCAGCCTCCCAAGCACTGGGATTACAGGCATGCGCCACCATATCCAGTCTCAGTCATCATCTCAGTGCACCCTGGGGGGGGGGGGCGGCATGGCACACTGGATCAAACCCTATCCCTGTGTCTGCCTAAGCAGGCACTTTAATCTGCTGAGCTATCTGGCCAGCCCAGGCCTTAATTTCTTAATATCAAATATTTACTCAGTTAATCCCAGTTGTGTCCTAATTTTTTAAGTTTCCATTAGGATTCATATGAGACCTGTTCTTTGTGACTCATTAGTCACACTTTTAAGTGTGTATAGACTCACTTCCATCTTTTTTTTCCCTCCTGTAGTTTAGTTTTTGAAGGAACTGTGTGTTTTGTAGAGTTTCTCATAATCTAGATAATGCTAATAGCATTCGTTGGGATATTCCTTTAATGGTAGTTAGGTTTAGAATATTATTAATAGAAAAATATGAACCACTTAATACAATTTTACATGTTCTTATAGCCACATATAAAAAGTAAAAAGCTCAATTCAAGTAATGTGCTTTACTTAGTGTATTGTACCCAAATACCATCATTTCAATATGCTATCAAAATAAAAATTATTGAAGTAGTTTTCTTTCTTCATGGTAAGTGCTTAATATCTATTTTGTAACCTTTACTGTAACATATCTCAAACCATACTTCCAGTGCTTGTTAGCCACAGGTGACCATGGCTGTGTTAGACAGGTCAGGACCAGAGTCTTGCTCATTCAGACTTGATTGATTCCTTTTCCCCCTTTTTCCAGCCCCCTTATCCCTGCTTCCAGACTGTCTCATAGGTAGTGCTTTCATCAGGAAATAGAAAGGACTCCCTGACTCTTAAGGTACTCATTTTTTGTACAGATTTAAAAGAAGACTATGAAGTAAGTCATAGGGAAATAGGAAGATACAAGTATCTGGGAAAAAGAGACTCATGCATGAGGAGATAAGAACCTCAGTGTGATAGAACACTGAGGAAATTCAGTGTCACAGTCCCCCACTGTGGTAAAATCCTTGTGTCAAATTCTTCCAAGTTCCTTACAATCTACTGAGATGCCCTGGAGCCCCAAAGGTAGAGAAATATTTCTATCCTGAACTGTCAAGCAGCAAAGGGAAGCCAGGAGTGGTGGTGCAGACCTGTAATCCCAGCACTCAGGAGGCTGAGGCAGGAATATCATTACAAGTTCTAGGCCAGCCTGGGTTACAAAGTGAGCTCAAGGCCAGCCTGAATTGCATAGAGAGACCCTGTCTCAAAAAAAAAAAAAAAAAAAAAAAAGCAAAGGGTTCTACCCCACTGAGGTTCTTAGCTAATGTTTACCTTTAGTCCCATCTTGTAGCTTTTCTAGCCTTTTCTCTCCCGCCTTTTCTCATTTGTCATTCCTGCCATCAGCCCTCTTTACTCTTTTCTCTTTTATTCATACCTACAGACATATACATTTCTTCATGGGAGACTCACTCTTCTGCACTCTTCTTAGCCTTTGTGCATTTAAAAAAAAAAATCCCAACTTTGTGTTCTCAGCTTTCCTAGGCCAAGGCACTTAACCTGGAACTTGGGCTTACCTTGGTATAGAATATTTAAAGCCTATAGTCAAGTGCATACGTGCCAAAGTGCCTTTGTGTACAATGACAGTAGCTAAGCCATTTCCTGGCTCGCTAGCCATAGCATAAGATGGGCCAGTAAACCTAAGTAGATCCCAGTTGTCTGGTTTTTATTGCTGGGGTTCGGTCAAGTATGAGGGTACAAAAACTAAAAAATTATTTCTGATCTACCAGACCTCTGTAGTTCTCATCCTAGGAGGGAGAGTGAGGATACCTAGAATTAAGTTTTTTCCTCATCATCAAATGCTGTTACTAGGAGACAGTTGTAATCACTACAAGAGGTTTAGATGAAAAGGAAGCTGACACATCCTCAGATTAGGCCAATTTGGATTAGGTTTTGTTTATTTTTTATTTTTATTTTCATCTTTTTGGCACAAGTTCTTGCTGTGCAGTTCAGGCTGGCCTTGAGCTCACTTTGTAGCCCAGGCTGGCCTCATACTCAATGATCCTTGTGCTGGGATTACAGACGTGCATCACCATAGCTGGCTATTTTTTATTTATTTATTTATTTATTTTTGGCTGAACTGGGGATTGAACTCAGGCCCTTGTGCTTGCCAGGCAAGTGTTTATTCTACTGAGCCATCTCTCTGGCCCCTACTTATTTTGTTTTAGCATACGTTTTTGCTTTTATTTTAGGAATCCATTTATCCCCAGGTGAATTTCATAAAGAAGTAGAAAAGCTGTTATCTCAGGCAAGTCAAGAACAAAGTGATACTATCCTGCTGGATTGCAGAAACTTCTATGAAAGCAAAATAGTAAGTAAGAACCAGAATTGAGTTTGGTAAAAGGGTGGGTCTTCCCCTTCCCACAATGTGACTGATTTCCCAATGACAACTCTTGGTGTGTGCATCTCTTTCCATTACTAGTAGCTTCAAAGAAAACGTAAGCCCTTGAACTCAAAGTCTGTGAGAAGAGCTAAGAAAATATGAATTAAATAATGTTGGCACATAAGACTTTTTGACTCCTATGAGCCTACCCTTGACATGTGGATGATCTTGTAAAGTTGGCCCTGGGTAGCCTCTGCAGTTCCCCTGTGGACTTTATAGGAAGGTGACCTATGGCCTGTAAGCCTTGTTTCTAGTTTCAGATCTTAGTTTAAAGGTCAGAGTATGGGATGAGAATGACAGCTGGTAAATAATTCTTTGCTAAAGTGGGAATTGTTTGACACAGAATTTTGTTTCTAATATTTTTCTTCTTGCCATTCCTGTATTATAGGGACGGTTTCAGGGGTGCTTAGCTCCAGACATCAGGAAATTCAGTTACTTCCCTAGCTACGTTGACAAAAATGTAGAGCTTTTCAGAGAAAAGAGAGTGCTGATGTACTGCACTGGGGGCATCCGTTGTGAACGCGGTTCAGCCTACCTCAAAGCCAAGGTGAGCTACCACCTGTAGGCTCTGCAGTTACAGAGGTAAAGAATGATCCACGAGTAGCTGGGGTGAAGCTTTCTGCTCCTTCCTTGTCCCGTTCTTCACCCCCAGCTAGCCCAAGGATTTGTTTTACCTTGTATGGTCTCAGCAGAGCTAAAATCTGCGGTTCTTAAATCTCAAGATGTGAAAAGCATTTAACAGTCTTAGAGACTCATCAAATACAAAAGAGAAAGCTTAGTTCAACATCTCCTTTCTCCTAATCCTTTTGCTGGATCCTGAGAAGAACAGATTCAGTAACATCACATGTCCCGGCAGATGTCTTCCTATATTTAGGGGGTAGCAAAAATAGTTCAGCTTCCAGGATCTTAAGAGTGTGAAGGCCCTGACTGCTGTCATCACCCATCCCCTCCCCCCAGTAGGCGAGGTCTGACCTGTTAGTTTCTTCTTGTTTGATCTCCCTGCGTCCTGCAGGGGGAGCCAGAAGCCCCTGGCTGATAGCACAGTCAGGAAATGCTGTTGGCACTCTGGAGCTTGTAGCTTGCTTGTGTTTCTTCAGATTTCCTCTTGTTTTTCCACACCCAGGGAGTGTGTAAGGAAGTGTTCCAGCTCAAGGGTGGTATCCACAAGTACTTGGAAGAATTTCCTGATGGATTTTACAAGGGGAAGTTATTTGTTTTTGATGAGCGTTATGCCTTGTCCTACAACAATGATGTGGTATCAGGTAGGTCAGAACAGGGCTGGATCCCCCACTGAAACCCACACACCATCCATTTACCATTGTAAAAATACTGCATGGGGAGGGAAGGCCATGCTGACTGCCTGGGGAGGAAAAACAGGGAAATGAGTTCGTTTCAGTGCTTTTGCAGCAGTTGGCATCAGGAGCCGTGGAGCAGACAGATCCCTGGACAAGGCATCAGGGGGTCTATGCTGGGCTCCTGGATGGTCTGAGTACTACTACCATGCAAGTTCTTTAAAGTGCATAAGCTCACTTTCCCCACCTGCCTACCTGTATATACTCACCCTAATCTGGGGTCAGTATATATATATTCAGGGGTTCTGTGAATTTGGATAGAAAAATTTTTGTTTGCAGTAACTCCTCATGAAAATAGCATTACCTTCAATTATGAATACAGTCAGCAAACCTGTTTTGTTAGATATACCTGGGACTTGTGTTTTTAAAAAAACTCACATAGGGCCAGGGAGATGGCTCAGTGGATTAAGCGCTTCTGTGGCAAGCGCAAGGCCCTGAGTTCAATCCCCGGTTCCACAAAAAATAAAAATTAAAAAAATTTTAAAAACTCACATAATTCACAGTACTTTGACATCATGTTACAGTTATATCTCAAAACAGCATTTATATTCATCATTGCCTCTCAGGAAATAATTACTAGGTTCATCACTAAGACTTACTAGTTTAGTACAGGGTCTATAGGCTCTCACTTCACAAATTGCATTCAGTGATCTTCCTGTTTTCAGCCTCCCAAGCGCTGGGATTAAGGCTCAGCCACTACATCCAGTCTCAGTCGCAATCTCAGCTTGCCCCAGGGGCGGGGCCGGCACAGTATGCCAGGGATCGAAACCTGGTCCCTGTGCCTGCCTAAGCAGGTGCTTTAGTCCACTAAGCAATCTGACCAGTCCTTATATCACAGGTTTTGGAAAACATTTTGATATTTATATTTCATACTATACAGTTTATTTTCTTTGTAATGTATCCTGTGCATTTAAAATAATTTTTCCAAGAGTCCATAGTCTTTGGGTAAATCCATGGCAGAAAATAAAAAGAATTCCTGCTTTAGGTGGTCTGTGGACACATGCAACATGCATTTACTTTTAATGGTGGGTGGGACATGCCAAGGTGAGAGCTGAACCCAGGAGTGATTAAGGGGTGGGTGGCCAGCACAGGCAGTCTGTTTTGGTTGCAGTGTGGAGCTCACACTGGTACAGTGGGGTGAATTGGGCACCAATAGACAGTGAAAGATGGATAGAAGCAATGAGGTAGAACAGGGACTGTTGCCCTGACCTTAGTGACCGCTGTAGTTTCTAGAACTCTCGTGAATAGAGACTGAGGTAGAATTATCTCACAGGTATAAGATTTTGAGTTTGATTGTCTTGTCTCCAGTTTATTTTTTAACTCATCGTAGTGGCCATATATTCATCTCTTATTGAAAACTATTTCTGACCTCTTTTGAAGCTAGGTGTAGTAGAAATTGTAAAGTATAAAGAGTGAGTTGGAGAGGCTATACAGGAAATACTGGTAGGCTCTGATGAATGCCTGCATGTGAGTGTGAAGGGGAGAAAAGGCCCAAAGGTGCCTTATATAAGTAAGGTGAGGAGACCTGAGAAAGGCTGATGTTCTTAGCAGTGACAGGAAGCAGCAGGCTAAGAAGGAAGATCATGTGCCTTGGGTGGTTAGGTGTCCTGGCCGTAGCTAGAGACGTAGGCCCAGGAGAGAGGCGTGTGCACTGCAGAAGTTGCACATAAGTGTGGGGCCATCTCGTATTGAGGTATGTTGTCCTTACTGAAAACGGGGATGATCTAGTGGAAGAGACCATTGAACAAGACATTGGCCAGTTTGGAGGTAGCTAATGGAACAGAGAAGCATTAATACCTATTTTCTGGATGGGAAAAAGAAAAATGGGTCAATGAATACTAGATTCAGAAAGATAATTTCTTGGGCCAGGGAGATAGCTCAGTGGCATAAGTGCCTGCCTGGCAAGTACAAGGTTCTGAGTTAGATCCTTGGTACCAAAAACAAAAAAAAAGAAAAAGAATTTTTAGAAGCAAATTGCTTCTCCCCTAGACAAAAGCAAGTGCCAGCTTTTTCTGTTAGTAGACAAAAAGACTAGGTAGAAACTTTCCCAGGGCCAACAGAATGAATGAGGTTTTGCTGAGTGGAGAGTTACATTCAGGAACAGGAGAAATACATGTCTGTCTATCTTTTGTGTGTGTGTGTGTGTGTGTGTGTTTTAACAAGGGCTTTTTTCTTTCTTCCCTAGCATGTTCCTACTGTGGAGCCCAGTGGGACCAGTATAAACTCTGCTCTACTCCCCAGTGTCGCCAGCTCATTTTGACCTGCCCTGCCTGTGAGGGACAGGGATGCACAGCCTGTTGTGTCACATGTCAAAACAAAGGAGTCAAGCAGGCTTCAGCCCCTACCCAGGATAGCTTTAAGGAGGAATGTGAGTGCACAGCTCGGCGGCCACGCATCCCAAGAGAACCTTTGCCGCATTCACAACTCCCTATAAATCTAGAGCCGCGGCCCACCGTTGGCGAAGATGGACCTGTGCTTGTATGAGAGGCACAGTCAGGATTCCCCAATCCTTCATAAAGATTTGGAGCAGCTATGCACAGGAAAATGTCAAGGTCAAAGAAACAGAGAAATTGAGAGCTTTAGTGCTTGTCCATACCATCATGGAACACTGGTCATCATGTTGGCCACCTGTGCGTCACTGGGAGGGGAGAAGTTGAAGATGGTGGAGCGTGAGAAGACAGGCAGGCTGTGCAGGATCCCAAAGGTGTTCAGGGGTAGAACCTTGAGACTGGTGACTATGTCGTACCTGTTTTCTGCCATGTGGTAGGGGTGTTGGTAGTCATTTTGTTTTATAATTTTTTTATTTTTATTTTTATTTTCTTTGGTGGAACCAGGGATTAAACTCAGACCCTTGAGCTTGCCAGGCAAGCGCTTATTCTACTGAGCCAGCTCCCCGGCCCCTCATTTTGTTTTTTAGACCTATCCATCCTGGTGGCAAAAATGTAAAAGCTCTGGCTGGGGGTGTAAACTCCTACCCCAAGTCACTTAGGTCATCTGCTATGTTCCTCTGACCCTTGACAGGGCCTGTAAACTGGTGTTTGACTCTCTTCCTGCCTCTTTCAAATTTCTTGGGAAAGCCTCACCCATTTCTTTACCTGTGATCTATGAAACAACTGAGTACTTGCAACAAAGAACATACGACCCACAAAGTCTAAAATATTTTTAATCTGTTTCTTAACAAAGAAGTTTGCCAACGCTGGGTCTAGACCCATAGTTCATCTGATGGAGACAACCTTAAAATCCATCTTATTTTTTATTGTTTCTGTGAGACATTTTCTTCCAATAGCCCTGCTTTCCCAGTGTATGCTTTATCTTAGTTTTTATGTGTTATCTCTGAGACATTCAGATAAGCTACATGGCACTGGCATTTCAGCATCAATTTTTTTTTTGATCAGCACCTGGGACACAAGACACTTCCCTAGTGAGGTCATTCAGCACTGCCATGGTGGCCATCCAGTCTTCTGGCCAGCATGTGGTAACATGTTTCTGTTACACAGGACCCAAGAAACATACACAGCCACACAGTCCAACAGATTTAATGTTATATCGCAGTTTCCAGTGATGCAGAATGCAGCTGCAATTGTGTTTCAAGGAGAAGCCAAGTGGGAATGGCCACCCTACAGTGTAGTGCCACTTCTGGGCCTATTTGCAGCCTTAGTAGACATTCTTCGTAGCGGTAAGGCCCCGGGCTCCAGCTGTAGTTACCCTGTACTGTCTACATCATTCGAGTTCAGCGTGCAAGACTGCCTTTTTTATCAGAAGCCTCAGAATCTGTGCTCATCCACTCTTTGGCCTTGTCTGTTATCATACGATCTGCTGGATCCCTAATGGAACTAACTCCCCAGAGCAACAAACAAAAGTATTAATAGTTAAACTGGCACAGTGGTGTATTAAAAGGCACAAGGGCAATGTGGCTTAACACTTTTGCTGACTCCCAAATGATGTGTATGGTGGGAAAAAGGGATCCAGTAGGAATACCAAAATTACATTTTAAAAATAATCTTCAGGTAATTTCACCTGGATTTCCTAATTTTTTAATGCCTAGATTTTCTCCATTACTATCTTTCTGGCACTTCCTTTGTGGGCCTAAGATCAGCATTGACTTGTTTAGTAAGTGATGAGACAGGTTGTTGAAGTCTATATGCTTAGCCATGCCAAATACCGTAGCCACAGTGGACTGGAAATGCCCTGGCAGTGTGGCCTCACTGGAGCCATGTCCCCACTGAGCAGCAAGAATTTGGCCCTAGGTTTAAGGGAACTATTCTGACTCCAGTGTTCACTTGTAAGTACCTCACAGATGTTCATAAAGAACATGGAGAAATACATTGTCTAGGGTGATTTTTGAATCTTGAAATTTTATTGTTGCTTTTTTCTACCATTTTTCCCATATGCAGTAAAAGCAATCTTTTTTTAAATTATTATTTCTGGCAGAGTCTGTGACGTCAGTCTGTTTGTCTTTCTTGGGGGTAAAATTGCATTTTGATCCATTAACCAATTTGGCAACTTTAATCTTGAAGTTCTTAAAATTTGAAGAAGGGTAAGTAAAGAGTGATTACTTGTTCTTTTTTGCTAAATAAGATCAAATGTGTAATAAAGTGTTTTGTAATACTTCCAAAATTAGTCAAAGAGTGTGCTGTTTATTTGCACCATGTTGTGTTATAAATTACTTGAAACACTACACAGCAAGGCCACCAGTTGGCTCTGGGGTTAAGTCACTGCCACTATCACATCATCTGCAGGAAGATCTGCCAGCTTGAGGGCTTGTTTTTAAATAATAACCATACTGGACTTTGTGACTAAAGAAAAACTTCACATTACCCATATTTTATAAAATTTTCAACTACAACCACTATTTAACCTAAAACCTTAGTGCATAAGAACTGAACCACAAAAGATTTGTGCCAGCATTTTGCCTTCTGGTCTCCACTGCAGAGCGCAGATTGTCAGTAAAACATGTCCAGTTCAAAGGTGTGGTTTTTGCCTCCACACCCTAGACACCGCTGCGGCATTTGGGAATGATGGGCCCCGTCAAGTCAGCAAGCCTCCTCTTCCTCACTGGAAAAGAATGGAGATGAGACATCAGCCAGCTGTACCTGTTCAGCAGAACCACCTCTTAGCACTGGGCTCCAGAAAGCATGTGAAGCCTCTTGCTCATTTTTCCGTGAGCAAAGCCAGAAGTCTGTTGTTTTCCAAGGACAGTTATGTGTGAGAATGCACACCGTTGTTCCTTGTTTACTGTCGCGTGTCGCGGGTCTTAGGCAGTGTAGGTGCACCCACGAAGCTCTTGTAGATGTCTAACCACACACACTCCACCCTGCTTGACCATTTTCCCTTTACCTATAGAGGCCTTGCAGTTAAAGACTCAGTTCTAAGAGTTAACTTCAGTTGGTCTTCTTAGCAAGGCTAGTCTTAACCTGGTAAAATTATTTCCCCTTGCTCTCTGGGAGTTCCAGGCCTGCCTCCTGCCTACGTAAGCAGCAGTTTCCACTGAAGATTACCCATAACGGCTGTATCTTTTGTTTAACGGTGACATTTTCACAGGTGCTATAGAGCCGATGCTCACTATTTAAATGACAGTTAAATGCTATAAAGAGAAAAGTACTGAGCTAGGAATGTATTTTAGTAGTAGAGAACTTACCTAGCATGTGTGAGGCCCTGGCTTGCATTCCTAGCTCTAGTCAAAAAAAGAGAAAGAAAAAAAATACTACACATGAGATTGTAAGCTAGAGACTTAGCTTAAAGAAAGACTATCAAATACTGATTGTGGTGGTTCACGCCTGTAATCCCAGCCCTCAGGAGGCTGAGGCAGGAGTATTGTGAGTTTGAGACCAGCTTGGGCTGCATAGTTCAAGGCCAGCCTGAACTGCAGAGTGAGACCTTGTCTCAGAAAGGGAGGGGAGAAAAAAAGTAAATACCACGTTGAGGGCCAAAGGGGTTCCTTTGTTGTAACAAGGAAAGGTATTGAAGTACAGTGTTGCCAAATGAAGGCCAACTAGCAAGTTAGATCAACCACATGAGAAAGGTCAAGAAAATCTGTAGAGACAAGTAGTACTGTCGAGGGGCCTGCATGTGTGGCAGACTGGAAGCTATTGCTGATGGGGGCTGAAGCTAACAGTTGGTGCCCAGAAGCTGCAGCAAGCACCAAAGCAGCTCATACCTGACTCCTAAGAATACAAGCAGCACCACAAGTGTGCCTGCTGAGCCAAGCTGGGAGCTTCGGGGGAGTTCTCAGAGGCGCCCAGGCTCCAGCTGTCAGGCCGAGCCTGAGGCCTACTCATCACACTTCCCCTGGGTCAAAAGAATAACAAGCGCAAATCAGGATGGGCAGCTTCATTCCTGCAGGCAGTCAGAGTGTGACAGCTTGGGAGCAGACATAGGAGAGCAAAACCTAGATTGCAGGAAGACTTGCCTGCAGAGAGCTTCCGTGAGTTCAGCGCATGCGTACCGTGCAAACATGGCTGTCAGGCAAGTCCTGCTCCTCCCGCTCTACCTCACTGGAGCCCCTCCAGCACTTATGGAATGTACTTGGCGACATTCCCAGTTTTCAAATGATTAAGGAAAGGTAAATGGTAGGTTTCTTGCTCAAAGCCAGTGCAGCAAGTCTGCCTGTTTCTTTTTAAAGTAAACTTGTGTATCATCTAAACAGCCAGAAACTTGGTGATCGTCAGAACTAGAAGGGTGCGAGTTGCCTATACCCACCTCCCTCCGAGTTCCCCACCTCTTCTGGCCAGTTGAACTGACAATCACGTCTTCATGAAGCACTTTCTGTTCATCTATATAATTCAGTAGCATTTTCTGAGTATCCATATTTGCCAAATACAGGTTCAGAAAGATACACCGTAACACATACAGACAGTAATCTTGATAAACTACCACAAGTACCCTGGCAGATCCCTGGGAGGTGTGAAAGGCACATGAATGACATCAGATCTCCCCAGGATTGGAAGGTGACAAGTGAGCTGAACTGTTAAAGAATAAAAGGGTAGAGGATGGGAAAGTAGGGAGACAAGAATGGTGGCCTTCTAAAGATAACTTGTTCCTGGGTTCCTTGGGGGTACTTGGGGTACCTGGAGTGGGCAGCACTAGTCTGGATGTCATAAAACCAGTCTGGCAGGGCTTATCAAGTGAGGGTCTCTGGATGGGACCAGGACCCACTCTTAATGAGGTACTCTGCAGCCAGACTGTCAGTTCAAATCCCAAGTTCTGCCCCCAGACAATGGGGCAGCTTTCTACTTCTGCGGAGCTGTGTCCTTACTATAAGATGATCCTGACAGCATGCAGTGGTGGGGAGGATGACATACATTTGTAAGACGGCAGGTGTGCAGAACAGCGCCTGATGTGCTGTCATGTGACTTGAGGGATGTGGGAGCCATGCGGAAGAGTTGAGCCTGAGAGACAGGAGCCCAGCAAGGCTTCTGAGAGGGGAGTGGCGGGACAGGCTTTGGGTCCTGCCACTGCAAGGCCCTCACCTTGCAGGACCTGGAGGCCTGGGGAAGTTGTGGAAAGCCTGGTGAGTGTGATGCGCTCCCCTGAGACAGGCATTGGTTTGGCAAGGCAACTGGCTAGCAGGGGTGGGGCAGTGTCCAGAGACAGTGCAGAGATCTGGCTTGAGTGGATATGGGGAAAGCTGCACCTTTCCTGAGATGGTTTGGGAGAAATGAAGAAACAATTTGGGATCCAACCTTCTGATGGATCCCAAATCCATCTGCTGGCAAATAAGGATTTCCTCTACTCTTTTATTCTTTAACAGTTCAGCTCACCTGTCACCTTCCTATCCTAGGGATGTTTGCCAGGTGTGTCAAAGCTAAGCCTGCACTCCCGTGTTCATTGGTGCTATTCCCAGTGGCTAAGATACACAACTTAGTGTCCATCAACAAGAATAGGAAAAGGAGATGTGGGATGTATACACAGTGCTGTTTGGCCTTGAAAGTGGAAATTCTACTATGAGCCACAATGGGTGGAGCTAGAACACACAAGCCAGGCACAGAGAGCCTAAAACCACATGTGCCAGCATACACGTGGACTGTAAAACAGTGGCACTCACAGTCAAGTAAGTGGTGGTGATGGGCTGGTGGGCAGGGGAGGGATGGGGGGAAGGGGCAGGAACATGAGGCCTCACACAGCAGGAATCGGTGCTGTTTCTGAGACCTGCTTAGCATGGTGGATTTTATACTCAAAGTTACTAAGAATGTAAATTTCAAATGTTCTTACCACCAAAATGGTAATGAAGGATATGTTAACTGGCTTGATTTAATTATTCCACATTGTATTCATAAATCATCACATCAGTATACAAATGCATATAAGTATATATTGTCAATTTATAATACAATTAATGCTTGAGGTGCCTGCTAGGTCTTAAGGATAAATTTGACCCTTTCATAGGTAACTGGATGCAATTAGAGACCATACTCTTAAGTGAAATAAATCAGATTCACATGTTAAGCATTAGATTACCTCCCTGGTATAAGAAACTGAAAGAGTCAATAAGGTCTAAATGTACAATAGATAATGTGAAATGGGATGTGATATTGTTCAAAAGGAAAAATGAACTAGGATGGGGGAAGGGGAAATGATGGAAGGGAAAGGGGGAAAAATGCAAGGCGGTTATGCTATTTGTGTCTCAGTTTATTGAAAAGGAAGATTTGTGCTAGTATCAGTTGGAGAAAATTTTAATGCCTGTATCTCGTACTCTGAGTACTTTACAGATAACAGTGTGGCCTATATTAACTAGTGTTATTCTTCCATGATTTTGTTGTGAACTTTTGCTTTACCTTTTTTTCCATAAAATAAAAACATAAAATAGAAAGGTCTTTTAGGACAATACAGTAAAAGAGCAACCTTCTTGGGAAGGGCTGTTCTCTGCTTTTAAATGTGCTATTCGGTCTCCACACCCCTGTGATTTCCCCCTCCCCATCTTAACTTGAAGGCTGTAATTCACATTTTAAATGGAGAAGGCTCTGGTGGCAAGTTTAAACGACCAGCAAGTGACACTTGCCTGGTCTTTGCTATAAATAGTGTGCAGATAGCAGTCATCTGAGGCACTGTGTGGGAAAATGTCGATGGGAGCTACAGGCTCGGCTCCTCCCTGACACCCACAGCACATCGTCCTGTACTCAGACATGGGGCGCTTGCTATCTGCAGAGAGCTCAGAGCTCTCTGGGTGGAAAGAGTGGAGGTGAACCAGTCAGGAAGGGTCCCAGGCAAGCAAAGCCCAAAGCCCCACAGTGGCCCTTGCCTGGGGCCCTGAGCCAAGGCAGGGCCCAGGGAGGATACAGTGAGATTCGTCCCTTCCTGGTCTGTGCTCCCTGCCTGAACCACAGTCCTCAGGGGTGAGAGCAGAAAGCCTTTATGATAACGGTGATCGGTTGGAAAACAAGCCTGTCTGCTTTTCCACAGCGATGAGAGCAGAGAGAGATACAATGTTAGAGACACAGGTCTCAAGAGGAAGCCAATCCACTGTCAGAATCTGAAGTGTTTCTCTTACGAAAATTAGCAGGAAGACACAAGTCTGCTTTTAAATCTAGAAACTGTACATCTGCAATTAGCATGTGAGTGTGGCCTGTGGTCACTGAGATTCTGCTCTCCTTCCCTCAGCGGGAAACACTAAGGGAACAGTTGACATAGGTCTCTGAGGTAACCCAGAGGTCTGTTTTATCACCTGGATTCCTGTCCAGGAAACTGCCATGGTTTCCACTTCCCACCTGCTTTCATTGCTGAGGTCCTGAGCTTGGTGTAAAGCTTTGAAGTCCAGCCTCACCTTTAGTTACCTAGCCACATTCCTGTAAACACCCATATTTGCTCATGCGGTTCCCTCTGCTTCAGTGTGCTTCCCTTCCTGCTTTATGAACTCCCAGTTTTTCTTCCATGTTGAACCCCTTTTAACAATTCTTCCAGCCCTTTTGATCTTCCTCTCGCTGCCATCTGGTAGAGTGGGTCTAGCCACTTTGCTTTTATACCTTGAGCTTCCTAGAGGCCCTGAAGGGGCTCCTCTTGATTTTTGTCAACCTAACCTATCTTTTCCTTCAAGGCTGGGTAGAGCCCCACCCACCAGGGTGCTTTGCCTAACTGGCTCTGGCCTCGTAAATCATTTCCTCACTGTTTGGACAGTGTGTAGGCATTCTTGAATTTTTAGGCATGCCTTTGAGTTTTTTTTTTCCCCTATAAGGTTGTAAAGCTTCTTGAGTCAGAGAATTGGCCTTTCTGCTACCTCTGTGTCACCTGGCATAGTCCTAGGCACACCAAAGTTGCTCAGAAAATATTTTCTCTAACAACCGATGTGACCTGATTGAGCCATAGCTTCCGTCTATCCTTGCAGCCCACCCCAGGCTTTAGTTTCTTGAGAAGGGAATTAGAGGCTGAACCCCAGTTTTCTTTGACTCTGGCATCCTAGGCACCAAAGTGGCCTCTGAGAGACCTTGTGATGAAAGTCAAGCCCGAGTCTTGAAATCCCATTTTCAGGACCAAGAATCTCCTCAGAGACCCTTTTGTGCAGCCCCTAGATGATTGTGGTATCCATTCAACAGCCCTGACATCTAGTCATCTGGAACCTTAGTCCTCAGGGAAAATAAAGACCATCATGCCAGGAAAGACACAATTGGGTTAGCCCAGAGATAGGCCCCACAGGGCATGAAAGAAGTTTAATTTATATTTGGGAGAGGGGGTGTGAAGTTATGCTGTGAGAATAAAACCTGAGATTAGTACCGGGTCTGCAGCATTTTCATGGCTGGCCTCTTGAATGATCGATTCTGGTTAGCTATCGCCTCTGTGATATGACGGCAGTAATTATATTTTTAGTTATTTGTGTTTGTTCTTATTTTATTTCAACTAAAGATACCTCAAGGGCTGGTGAGATAGTTCAGGGGACTAAGAGCCTGCTTAGGCAAGCACAGGGACTGGGATTCGATTCCCCAGAACCACTTGCTGTGCCTGCCTCTTCCCCCAGGCCTGCTGAGCCAGCAAGTAGGACTGGGTGTGGTGGTGCATGCCTGTAATCCCAGTGTTAGGCTGAAAACAGGAGGATCACTATAAGTCCGAGCTGCATAGTGAGACTCTGTACCAAATACATAAAAAAGATACCTTAGATAAACCAAAATGCCAGAAACATTATTTTTAATGAGCTTTTCCAGACCTGAGGCTTTAGGGGAAAAAATTGGCCTGTGGAGTGAGCAATGAATGAATGCTCCTGGGCTCTGATAGGCCCAAAAGCAAGCGCCTCCCTCGACAACACCCTGTGCCACAGAGCCCTTTGACAGAGGTTTGTAGGAGTAACTCCGCCTATAGCAGGTGTGTGAGTGTGAGCGCATGTGGGCACAGTGGCTCTCTGTGCGCACAGGCTCTGCGAGTACCAGCCCTGTGTGCATACACCACACCCTTAACTCTATCCTCCCGAGCACTGACCCTAACTCGGATACTCACCAGGGTGCAGCACACCTGCACTGTGAAGCGGGCTCAAGTTGTTTGCATTTTATTGAGGACTGAAAACTAGAAAGGGCCGTGGTGGAGTAGGTGTGAATCTGAAGAAAGATGCACTAATGATGTTGTCCTTTAAAACATACTTATTTTGTAATTTAATCAAGAAGAAAGCTTTTCTTTTTAAGTCATGCTTCCTTCTTTTCTGTACTAAGAATAATGTAACCAGGTTTGTCTTGTTCCTGATGCGATTTTAGGAAACTAAGGAAACCTAAATATACTAGTCAATCATGTAAATACTACAGGCCTATTGCTTGTATTTTTTATCTTATTGCCTATTGCTTGTATTTTTTATCTTATTTTTCTGTAGCCTTATCAATCATACTCCCTTGATTGTGCACCATTTCAAGCTCTTTTTGAGAGCCAGCAGGAACATATATAATAAATAACTTCACAGAGCATGAAAATAACAGGTATCTGGAAGGGAGGGAATCACATTCCCTGGAAGGGATTGGAAAGGATTCTGGAAGGGATTGGAATGTCATTCCATTGACTTGTGTATCTCCTTGATGTAGTCTCCTCCTCAAGAAAGACTTGACATTTTCTTTTCTTTTTAGAAAAACAAGGCTGATGAGATAGCTCAGTGGACTAAGTGCCTGCTTAGGCAAGTGCAGGGACCAGGGTTTGATCTCTGGTATCACATGCTAGCCTGCCCTTGGGCACGCTGAGCCAGCCACCTAGACCACGCATGGTGACACATTGGGGAGGCTGAAATCAGGGGATCACCATGAGTGAGACCCTGTACCAAATACATAAATTTAAAAAAACAAAAAATAAACTAAAAAAAAAAAAAACATTGAATGAGCAGAGTCTGCTTTTATTTTACTACGAAATTGTTAGTCCGCCGGGGAGATGGCTCAGTAGGATAAGTGCTTGACTGGCAAACGCAAGGATCTGAGTTCAATCCCCAGTTCCGCAAAAAAAAAAAAAAAATAATAATAATAATAATAATTGTTATTCCCACTTTCCTTAAAAACAATGTGAAGTCTGCTAGGCCCAGGGTTTTGAAAGCAGTTTTGGTTGGTAGTAGTATTAGAACTCACGGTGACAGCCAGATACTTATCTGAGCAGACGAGGAGCCCAGAGAAGGTAATCCAGAGGAGGAAAGACTCAAGGTGGGCGGAGCTCTGCCAGGTTTCGCTTCCCCTGGCTGGCGCTCTTTGTGTTCTCTGGGTCCAGCCTGTGCTGCTGAGAGGACCAGTGGCCCTACTTACTGAAGTCAGGGGAGGAGCTAAGGCATAAATGCAGAAACTAGGAAGACTGGATCAGGAGTTCACTCGGGGAGACTCTTAGACAGCAGTCAAGGATTTTCCCTGTCACGCCCAGAGCAGGTGGAGAGGAAGCCAGGTAGGCATGCCGGCAGAAAGCAGATGTCCACTCACCAAGGTCGTTGTTGCTCATCATGGCATTGGATGCTCGCAGTCGGGGGCCCTGCTGGGTAAAGTGGTAGCCAAATTTGAGAAGCGTTGTGTTTTTCTCCAGCATGCTCACGATCTCCATCTCTACTTTGTTGCCCAGGGGCTGGCTCTTTAGTCCCAAAAGAAAAACAAAAACCATGATAGTCTTCACACATTCCATGTATACCATGCTAAAACTGCCTTTGCAGGCAGAGATCCTGACTCAGGGGGCATTTTAGACACTTCTCCAGGAGCGAGGGGAAGGGAGTGCAGAGAAGCACCCCCAGCCAGGAGCGAAGCTGGAGCTCAAGCCCAGTCTACCCACAACAGGCTCTGAGGAGGTGGCTGAGATGCAGCTCCTCCTCGAAGAATGCTTAGGCAAGGGGCACCTGCAGACCACCTGCTCCCAAGTAGATTTTCAGAAGCCTCCTGTCCAGGTTATATGTCCTAGACTAACTGAATCAGGATAGGGCTGGGAGGACTCTGCTAACTGTGTTTTGAAAAATCTCAATTGACTCCAATATGTAGCGTTCTTTGAAAACCAGGAATTTAGGGCCGGGGAGATGGCTCAGTAGAATAAGCACCTGCCTGGCAAGTGCAAGGGCCTGAGTTCAATCCCCAGTTCAGCCAAAAAAAAAAAAAAAAAAAAAAAAAAACAAGAATGTAGATAAAGCTCTTCAATCTAAGGCCGAAGAATTTGAAGCCTAGAGAAGGAATAAGATTTGCCCAAGACTACAGTGTAAGTTACGAATGCTAGAATTCACTTTCTTTTTTAAATTTTTTTTTTTAACCTTTTGTTTATTTGGTACAGGGTCTCACTAGGCAGCTAGGACTCATAGTGATCTTCCTGTCTCAGCCTCCCTGGCACTGGGATTACAGGCGTGTACCACCATGATGCGCCTGGGATTTTGGGGTTGGCACAGCATCTGGTACTGGAAATCGAGCACAGGTCCTTGCACTTGCCAGGCAGCCGCTTAGTTCACCAAACTATCTCCCCAGCCCTAGAATTCACTTTCTAAAGTCTCATTCTTTTTTTCTTTTTTTGGTTGGCTTAGATCTGGTGTGGCATGTGGTACCAGGGATCGAACAGTGGTCCTGCCTAAGTTTGCCTAGGCAGGTGCTTAAGACCACTGAGCTATATCTCTGGCCCCTAAAGTCTCATTCTGATAGTATTGGTTCTCTACCCAAAATCTATAGTGATTTTTCTGACAAAAACCAATCAACCGGGGGCCGGGGAGATGGCTCAGTGGAATAAGCGCTTCCCTGGCAAGCGCAAGGGCCTGAGTTCAATCCCCGGTTCTGAAAACAAAACAAAACAAAACAAAACAAAACAAAACAAAACAAAACAAAACCCAAGCAAAACAAACAACTGCAGGAAGACCTAACAATACACAGTATTGAGAAGGATCTGATGAGGGTGTTTTTCACAGTCCTGTTTATAATAGTTGGAGGGAAAGGGAAATAAACAATCAAGAGGGAATTATGATCATTCAGTCTTACAGTAGAATATGGGTGGCTGTAAAATTATGGTATAAATCCTTGGTTGCATACGGAAAGATGGTGATAACACAATATCGAAAGAGAAAAAATCTTGTTTACCAAACAAGTTATGTTTTTATTATTTGTACTTTACATATATATGATGCCTACAAAGTGTACTGGGGATGGTAGAATTTGGAGTTTTGTTTCTTTATCTTATTATTTGGACTTTCTATTACCATGTGTAATAAAATAATTTAAAAATAAACATAAACAGGTTTTAAAAGACTTAGAAACTGGCAATGGGGAGATAGCTCAGTAGTCTAAGCACCTGCCTGGCAAGCACAAGGACCTGGGTTGCATCCCCTATACCACATGCCATGCTGGCCCCAGAACCCACCGTGCTGGCCACGAAACTGGGCATGGTGGCACCTGCCTGTAATCCCAGTGCCGGGGAGGCTGAGACAGGAGGATGGCTATGAGTCTGAGCTGTGTAGCGAGACCCTGTACCAAATAAATAAATAAATAAATAATAAATAAATAATTTAAAAAAATTTTTAAAAGACATAGAAACTTAGCATTATACTTAATGGCTGCAGACTGAAATATTTCAGGATTAAAAACGAGGCAAGATGTTTGGTTTCCCCAACATTGTTCTGGAAGTGCTAGCCAAGACAACTAAGCAAGAAAACAAAAGAAAAACAGGCATATATGGTGTAGAAAACGTAAGCATTGGTAGATTTTTTTTTTCCTGTACTGGAAATCAAACACAGGGCCTCGTGCTTGTCAGGCTGTGCTGCTGAATTACGTCCCCAGCCCCATGAAAGGATATTATATCTAGAGAATCTTAAGGATTACGCACTCACAGAAGAATAGTGCTAACAAATATGTTCAGCAAGATTGTAAGATATGAGAACAAAATAGAAGAATCATTGTATTTTTATATGGTAGGAATAAGCAATCTAAGAATGACTAATTCCACATACAATACTGTTGAAAAGAATAAAATAAGAATAAATTAAACAAAAGAAGTAAAGAGTCCAGGAAGGTGGTGCATGCCTGTAATACCAGCATCCTTACAGGGTGAAACAAAAGAATTGAAAGTTTAAGCCCAGCCTGAACAACACAGGAAGACCCTGCCTCAAAATAAAAAAAAAAAAAAATCCCTGCCCCTGGGGCTTGCTGAGACAGTGATTGAGACTGGGTGTGATGGTGTGCGCCTGTAATCCCAGCACTTGGGAGGCTGTAAACAGGATGATCACTACAATCTACACAGTGAGACCCCGTACACACTGTACACCCTGTCCTAAATAAATAAATACATAAGTAATAAAATGGGTCTGTAGCTCATTGAGAAGCCCTGAGCTTAGCCCTGCTAAACAAACACACGAACAATACCTATACACTGAAAACGATACAACAGCAAGGTGTGATATTAAAACCTTAAAATAAGGAAAGGAATAAAAACAACTCATATGCACACATCAGAAGATTTCAGATTGCCCATATGACACATGATTGAGTTGATCCTTGGAGTCAGTGTAGCCTTATGAAATTCCAGCTTCCTTTCTTACAGACGTGGGCACACTGATCTTAAGATACACATAAAATGCCGGGGAGATGGCTCAGTAGAATAAGAGTTTGACTGGCAAGTGCAAGGGTCTGAGTTTAATCCCCAGTTCCACAAAAAAAAAAAAAAAAAAAAAAAAAAATCACATAAAAATGCCAGGAGTCCAGAATAATCAAGACAGTTGTGAATAAGAGGAACTGAGCTGGAGAACGTGCACCCCCTGACTTCAAAATTCTTACAAAACTACACTGATTAAAGCTACATGGTACTGGCATGAGGCAAACATCTCAATTAGCCCAGACATAAATCCACACATCTATGCAGACTGCTTTTCAAAAAGGACACCAAGAGAATTAGGAAACATCGCTTCAAAATGTAGTGTCACACATACAGAAAATGAATTTGACCTTCACTCACACTATATATAAAAAGTAAATCAAAATGGATCAAAAACATCAATGTAAAAATTAAAATATAAAACTCTTAGAAGAAAAACATAGATGTCAGTTTTTGTAGACTTAAAGTTTTTGTAAGGGGGCTGGGGAGATGGCTCAGTAGAATAAGTGCTTGCCTGACAAGCACAAGGGCCTGAGTTCAATCCCCAGTTCCGCCAAAAAAATTTTTTTTGTAATTTTGGCAGTAGTTTTTTAAAAGACATATGACTAAATAAAGCACAAATAAAAAAAGATGAAGCGTACTTCATCAAAATGTAAAACTTGCTTCAAGAGACACTATAAAGGTGAAAAGACAACCAAAAGATTGGGGGAAATTATAAACCATATCTGATAAGGGATATGACCTAAAATACACACATAACTATTAGAACTCAACAGTAAAAATCTTACTAATTTAATAGAAAGTGTGCAAAGGATTTCAATAGACATTTCTCTAAAGAAGCTGAGATTCCATCTGACAAAGACATGCCGATGATGAAAAGACAGTAACAAATGATAACAAGGATGTGAAGAAAGAGGAACACTCATACACTGCTAGTAGAAATACAAAATGGGGCGGCAGCTTTGGAATACGGTTTTGCAGTTCCCAAAAGGTAAAAATTGAGCGACTATATGACCCACCCTGTATGGAAAAGAATTCCACTCTGCATGGAAAAGAAATGAAAGCATGTCCACACAAAAATTTGTACATGGGGTCAGAGAGATAGCTCAGTGGACTAAGCACTTGCCTAGCAAATGCAAGGTCCTGAGTTTGATCCCTGGTACCACCAAAAAAAAAAAAAAATTTTTTTTTTGTACATGAATGCTCCTAGTAGCCAAAAGTGCAAATGATACAGATGTCCACCTGATGAATGGATAAATGAAAGGTAATAGATTTATGTAGTGGAGTATTATGCAGTCATAAAAAAGAATGGAGCACTAGCACATGCAACAACATGAATGAACTTGAAAATTCATTCATGCTAAATGAAAGAATCCAAACACAAGGACCACATAGTGTATAATTGTGTGTATGAAATGTCCAGATTAAGTAAAAGCATAGAACTAGAAAAGAGCTCTGTGTTAGTCAGGGGTCAGGGGAGTGGAGGCTTTGTGTTGTTGAATTAGATGATGATGGGGGCACAACTTTGCAACTAGATTAAAAAAAAATCATATCCTTTAAAAGGCTGAGTTGGTCCAGGGACTTAGCTCAGTGGCACAGCACTTACCCAGCAAGCATGAGTTTGTGAGTTCAATTCCCAGTACCAAAAATATAAATAAATAAATAAATAAATAAATAAATAAATAAATAACTTGATGAGTTGTATGGTAGATGAATTTGATATAATTTTTTAAAAACTCAACAGCAAAAAAATCCAATTAAAAATGGAGAAAAAATCTGAAGAGATATTGAAGAGAATAACTGACAGTCACTGTAAGATGCTCATCATCATTAACTATTTTCAAAATGCAAACCAAAAGCACAAGTGATGTTACATACCTATCAGAATGGCTAAAATAAAAGAAGTGACTGCCTCGTGTTGGTGCAGAAACAGAGAACTTGAGGCACTTATATATTCCTGGTGGGCACAGTCATGGGGGACAACAGTTGGGCAGTTTCTTTAAAAACCATTTAGCTATTATAGG